CAAAGCCAAGGCGCCTATCCCATTCCCCGTCACGCCCAATAGCGTGGGAGAACGCCCGTAATTTACCAATATACGACTCTACAGTTTTATAGGAAAGTCTTAACGGGCAAGCACAATCAAATGTGCCTCTCTTCCCCAGATGAGGGCATCCGTTACGATGAACCTGGGTTTTCCCATTCTTGTCTTTATGCACCAAGAAACGACAAATATTGCGTGGTGTAATAGTTGAAACTGTAATAGAGCCTGGTGGAGAGGAAAGGAAATTTTCTAATTCCCTTTGAAGCGAAACTTTATGTTTAGAGTAACAAGTTGCTTGATCAAACAAGGCCAATTGTTGAAGAAGATCATCAATAGTGTTCACATTCACATCGAAAGGCGTACTACTTTTGTTGTTTAAGATTTTTCTTTTATAGCCGCATCGTTGGCAAAAGCGGAAATTGGAATCATTGCTATAACTACAATTTGGACACCTCACAGAAGGAGTGAACAGCTTTGCGACCACAGGTAAATCCTAGTAAATGGAAGAGGAGGAAACGCTCAAATAATAGACATTGAAGTTTTATTCTATCAAAGTATACAATACTAGTAAAACGTACACTTTCCACGGAACAAGATGAAATTTATAAAGCAATTGCAAATGCGTTTATAGTTACTGTTCAAAGTCAACTGCAAGATATACCCTAATATCGTACACCAAAAGCCCAGAGATCTTCAGGGATCCCAGGATGGGGAATCCAACCTTGTTTGGAAGGTAACAGAAGTGCCCCAGCCACCCCCTTTACTGCTAATCTACACGATTTACTGGCACAACTCTGGATAAGAGGCCACCAATACCTTTTCGGATAAACATCCAAGGCTATGATCCGTGCACGACCGCCCGTGGGGTCTCAGAAAACGCAGAACAGGACCCATCAGAGAGAAAGAGAGGCGGGAAAACGCAAGGGTACTCCAGAAACGGGGCTCCACTTGATAGATCTTGCGCAAAGAAATTGACACCACAGGATTGCGGCGACGGGTGGGGCGTAAAAGGCGGTAACAGGGAACCATCCTGCTCTGTCATTGCGTTCGAATCAAGTGCCATCAAGTCACACGTGTGTCCCTTTGGACCACCAAACTCTTGTTGTACTCTTTGCTATAACTTCGGATGGAGTTTGCAGTCAAGAGTTGTGAGACGGCGAGAGGGTGCGTCCCCTTCATTTTCTTTTGATGTGATATACGTCAGATGGACGGCAATATTTAACTTTGAAGTTGTGAAAAAAAAATTCTTAATCGCCCTGTTCAAGGACATACTCCTACCCCCTTGTCTTTGCCAGGAGTAGACTACTGACTGATTGTCAACCAGGCCATCTAGCCATGCATTCTTTAAAGAGTCGGAGAAGGAAAGAAGGACCTTGTCAAGCGCCAGTGCCTCCTTTGTGGAGATATCAAGCTCCTGCTCTTCCTTCGTCCAGTAGTCAGAGGCCTCAACCGTACGATCACTCA